AAACTGTGGAACACATTATTAGGCAAAATGACAAAATTTGAATGTGGCCTGTAGATTAAATAATAGCATGATAACAATGTTAAATATCCTTAATGCATTAATCTGCACTGTGTTAGGTGGGAACATGTTCTTGTTCTTAGGATATACCCACTGAAGTATTTAGGGATAAAGAGATGCCATATCTCCAATCTACTTTCAAATGTTTCGGAAGAAAGTGTTCATGTCTGTGTTGTGTGCATAGAGAAAGACAGGGAGAAGGAGAGGAAGACGGAGTGGGAGAGGGAGAGGGAGAAGGAAAGTGAGAAAGAATGAAATAGCAAAGGGATGAAAATGTAAACAGTTGGTGAATGTGGAAAGCAGGTATGGGAGACCTTTATGCAGCTTTTGAGATTATATCAACATAAAACTTACAAGAAAGGCCCGGCGCGGTGGCTCAAGCCTGTAATCCCAGCACTTTGGGAGGCCGAGGCGGGTGGATCACGAGGTCAAGAGATCGAGACCATCCTGGTCAACATGGTGAAACCCCCTCTCTACTCAAAATACAAAAAATTAGCTGGGCATGGTGGCGCATGCCTGTAATCCCAGATACTCAGGAGGCTGAGGCAGGAGAATTGCCTGAACCCAGAAGGCAGAGGTTGCGGTGAGCCGAGATCGCGCCATTGCACTCCAGCCTGGGTAACAAGAGCAAAACTCCGTCTCAAAAAAAAAAAAAAAAATTACAAGAAAGTCTTTTTGGATGCCCCCCTCAACCTCAAGCCGTACCTGCTTAGGGAATAATTGTCTGAGTCAGCACTATGTAGACTGCAATCATTTCATTCCCCACCCTGCATTCAAAGAGCCTGTTCCAGAGCCAGTCATTCCAGTGGTAGATAGCACACTCAGTACCTGAGTGGGTCATCTTTTTTTAAATCAATCTCTTTCTCTATAAAACAAAAATATTGGCCAGGCGCGGTGGCTCACACCTGTAATCCCAGCACTTTGGGAGACCAAGGCAGGTGGATCACAAGGTCAAGAGATCGAGACCATCCTGGTCAACGTGATGAAACCCCGTCTCTATTAAAAATACAAAAAATTAGCTGGACATGGTGGCGCGTGCCTGTAATTCCAGCTACTCAGGAGGCTGAGGCAGGAGAATTGCCTGAACCCAGGAGGCAGAGGTTGTGGTGAGCTGAGATCACGCCATTGCACTCCAGCCTGGGTAACAAGAGCGAAACTCCGTCTCAAAAAAAAAACCTAAAAAACAAAAAATATTTTTAGTAATAATAACAACATGAAACAAATAGTAAAAAAGATCATGAAAGAAACACATTGGTAATGTTCTTTTATTAAATTTCACATATGAAGCCCTGCCAGATAAAAAAACATAAATTAATAATAGATATCATAGCACAAAAAAGTGGGTTAGTATCTTTTAATTACATTGAAACATTTTTACAATATAGTGAGACCTCTTCTCTACAAGAAAAATAAATAAATAAAAGTTAGCCAGGGCCAGGTGCGGTGGCTTACACATGTAATCCCAGCACTTTGGGAGATGCAGGGGGGTGGATCATCTAGGCTCACTGCAATCTCCGCCTCCCAGGTTCAAGTGATTCTTGTGCTTCAGCCTCCTGAGTACCTGGGATTACAAGTGCCCACCACCATGCCTGGCTAATTTTTGCTTTTTTTTTTTAGTAGAGACGGGGGTTTCACCATATTGTCCAGGCTGGACTCGAACTCCTGACCTCAGGTGATCCACTTGCCTTGGCCTCCCAAAGTGCTGGGATTACAGGTGTGAGCCACGCATCCATTCAACAATTTATTTTACATTAAACAACATATATACAAGTAGTTAAGAAAAGTTTTAAAGATAAATTTGTCAGATTCATACAAATCCTGTTTCTCAATAAATTATAGTAATTGTAGTACTGTTTATGCCTTTGTTTCTTTGAGTAGCTTGGTAATTTATAGATGTCTCTATGGTTAAAATATTTTAAACGCAAATAAAAACACCAGTCACAGTATGACAGGATGAAGGTACCTCAAATTCTGCTGCTTCTTTATAATTGATGGGTTATTATTGTTTATTTTAAATCTCCTGTTTTAACACAGGCATATATAGTAACATAGGGGTACTATGAAGTGTGCCCATAGCAAAGCTCAAATGATTCTGAAACTTTAGGAACTTAAAAAAGAACTCTTGGAACTGCATCCACAGTGTCAGGGCCACCCTGCCCGGCCACAGCAGTATCTTTCTTAGGCTTATAATGTAAACTTGGGCTGGGTGCAATAACTCATGCCTGTAACCCCAGAACTCTGGGAGGCCAAGGCGGGCAAATCACCTTAGGTCGAGTTCAAGACCAGCCTGGCCAACATGGTGAGACCCCATCTCTACTAAAAATACAAAAATTAGCCAGATGTGGTGGCCCACGTCCCTAATCTCAACTACTCAGGAGGCTGAGGCAGGAGAACCATGGAGGCAGAGCTTACAGTGAGCCGAGATTGTGCCATTGCCCCCTAGAGTGGTCAACAAGAGCAAAACTCAGTCTCAAAAATCAATCAATCAACAAATAAACATAACAAATTGATGATTTATCACAAACTCATCATCAACATAATAGTTTCAGAGTGCAGGTTGACAATTTCACAGGGAAAACACAAGGAAAGAACAGCCGGCAATAGTAAGGCATACATAGTGACTTCTTTTTTGACTTAAATGCTTTCAGAGCATTGAAATTATGAATAAATAATATTATTTTCCAAAATGTACTAATGCATTTCATTACATGGTGTATAAAACAAAATACTTATAACATTGTGGCAGTTATTCAAACAATGGAAAGTGTTGTCATTTTCCATTTATAGTTTATTTTAAAAATCAAAGATATGTAAATTTACTTCCCATATTTTGTTAGTGTATCTTCTTTTTTCCAATTCCTGCTCCTTCTGAAATAACAGCTAAGTATCATCTGATAATACTTAAGAAATCATAAAGTAGGACCCGGTGCCATAGGCTTATAAAAAAAAATAATAAAGTAAGTATGATAAATTTGAAAACCATCAAAGGGCTCAGAGTTCAGGAGGTTCCAGCTCAGACCCATATTTGGCAATGATAATCTCCTTAATTTCAAGAATTTTATAACCAAAAATGACTTTTTGGTTATAGAAAGCCTATCACAAGAAAAAGTAGTGAGAAAAGCCGACAACTCTAGAGAATCTTGGTCATGAGAACTTTTCCCAAAGTGAGACATGCAGTTGGGGTGTGGAGAGAGCAGTTTCTTTATTCATTTTAGAATTAGAAGGGAGAAATCTGGCCCAGTGCAGTGGTGCACACCTGTAATTGGAGCACTTTGGGAGGCTGAGGTGGGTAGATCACCTGAGGTCAGGAGTTTGAGACTAGCTTGGCCAACATGGTGAAATCCCATCTCTTCTAAAAATACAAGTTAGCTGGGCATGGTGGTACGTGCCTGTGATTCCAACTACTTGGGAGACTAAGACAGGAGAATTGCTTGAAACCGGGAGGCAAAGGTTGCACTGAGCCGAGATCATGCCACTGTACTCCATCCTGGGCAACAGAGTGAGACTCTGTCTCAAAAAAAAGCAAGAAAGAAAGGAAAAAAAAGAAGGGAGAAATCCTGTTGATGGAGTTAATGGTGGCTGATGTTCTAGACAGTACCAATTAGAAAGTATTTATGTCTTAGAAATTAATAATGACTGGGCACCATGGGCACTTTGGGAGGCCGAGCAGGGCAGATCACGAGATCACAAGGTTAGGCGTTTGAGACCAACCTGGCCAACATGGTGAAACCCTGTCTCTACTAAAAATACAAAAATTAGCCAGGTGTGGTTGCGGGCGCCTGTAATCCCAGCTACTTGGGAGGCTAAGGCAGGAGAATAGCTTGAACTGGGAGGCAGAAGTTGCCGTGAGACCAGATGGCACCAATGCACTCCATCTCAAAAAAAAAAACAACACACAACTATATATATATATGGAGAGAGAGAGAGAGAGAGATAGTCACTCAGGCTGGAGTGCAATGTAATGACTATATATTATATATATTTGGAATTTAAGTTCAACTGTACTGTTGACCAGTTTTTCCAAGCGGTGTTACAGTACAAAGAGCATGGGCTGCTGAACTAGACTAACCAAACAGGAAACTCTGCCATGCCACTAGTCAGCTATGGATCTTGACCAACTTATTATTATTAATATATATATATATATATATTTTGTAGATGGCAATCTCCCTATATGGCACAGGCAGGCCTTGAACTCCTAGGATCAAGCAATCCTTCGGCCTGGGCCTCCCAAAGTGTCGGGGTTACAGGTGTAAGCCAACATGCCTGTTTGCCCAAATTATTGAATCTCCCTGGGCCAGTTCTTTTACTCATAAAGTGGCTTTGCTACGGAATTGTAACAGACTCTCCATAAACTTTTGCCCAGTGAACCAATATCCAGCAAAGAGGCTAGTGAATTTTTTTTTTTTTTTTTGAGAAAGAGTTTTGCTGTGCCACGCAGGCTCGAGTGCAAAGGTGGTTCCATCTTGGCTAACTGCAACCTCCGCCTCCAGGGTTCAAGCTATTCTCGTCCGTCAGCCTCCCTTGTAGCTGGTATTATTACAGGCGTGCACCATTGCTCCCGACTAATTTTTTCCCCCGCGGAATGGAGTCTAGCTCTGTCGCCCAGGCTGGAGTGCAATGGCGTAATCTAGGCTCACTGCAACCTCTGCCTCCTGGGTTCAAGCGATTCTCCTGCCTCAGCCTCCCTAGTAGCCGGGATTACAGGCGCAAGCCACCATGCTCAGCTAATTTTTGTATTTTTGGTAGAGACGAGGTTTCACCATGTCGGCCAGGCTGGACTCCAACACCTGACCTCAAGTGATCCGCCTGCCTAGACCTTCCAAAATGCTGGGAAGCTAGTTATTTAATGTTAAATAACTTTGGGCTCCAAAGGTATGTTTCCATTTTAAGCCGCTTCTATTTTGGGAGGTAAACTAGTTATATTTTAATCATAAAAACATCTATTACGTAAGCACATAGTGAATACGCGAATAGACCTTCCCGGATGGGTGGGTGAGGGGACCGGCAGATGTTCACAGCCCCGTCTAAAAGGACTTGGGGCTGGGGGATGTCCCGGTCAACTGGGAAAGGAGAGCCGGTCAGCGAGTAGCCCGTCCCACGCCGTCTGTCAAATGCATGCCGGGGTTAGCTCTACTCATACATCTTGGGGGTGACTAGGTAACTTCCGTGTTCAAGAACACAGCGAGCTAAGCCTGGGACTTCACAGCTGCACAGCGCTTTGGCCAGTTTTGTCTCTCAATCTTCCGGTCCCCAAGCGAACCTGGAGGACGTCTGTTAGCGGTAAATTCTTCCCTTTGCCCACATTCCTAAAGTGAAAACGGGCGCCTGCGCGCGAGGACATACTCCTTTGAATGGTCACTAACCCAGCAACTCACGCGACTTCTGCGCCACTGCTCCACTAGGCCGACCGCCTCCTTCGCGACGCAGGCGCAGTCGCGGAGCTGTAGAGCCCTGCGCAACTGTGGGAGCCTCGGGCTGCTGAGCCGTGCGCGCGACGGTGAAAGGAGTGGTCGCGCGGGGCCTGCGTCACTCGTCTGCGACGGCGCCTGCGCGAAACACTATGCTGATGGCGGCGCGTTGCGGTCCTGTTTTGCTATCCCTGCGGCAGGATCTCGGAACCAATTCATTCCTGCGCCGCCCGGGGCAAGAGCCCTTCAAGGGAGCTCGGTCACTGTGTTGCAGGTCCTCGCCTAGAGATCTGAGAGACAGAGAAAGAGAGCACGAGACAGTACAGAGGAAAACCCCAGGAGCAGAGTCTTGCCCATCTCTTCCTCTGAGCATCTCGGACATTGGGACTGGATGTCTTTCGTCAGTGGAAAGCCTCAGACTTCCGACGCCGCGGGAAGAGTCATCCCCTCCAGAGCGCGAGGACTCGAGCGGAGACCGGGGCCGGTGCGGTCCCGCACAGCAGGGATCCGAGGATCCCTCGATGCTGTCGCAGGCCCATTGCGCTATCGAGGTCAAAGAGCCTCATGTCTCCTCTTCTTGTTCAGCTTCCAGAGAGAGACCCTTCCAGGCTGGGGAACTGATTTTAGCTGAGACTGGGGAGAGAGAAACACAATTTAAGAAATTATTTAGGTTGAGCAACGTCGGACTCTTAAATAGTAACTGGGGGGCAGTCCCGTTCAGCAAGATCGTGGGGAAGTTCCCTGGCCAGATACTGAGGAGTTCCTCCGGTAAGCAGTTCATGATGAGGAGGCCAGCATTAGAAGACTATATATTATTGATGAAAAGAGGGGCTGCCATAACGTACCCAAAGGTAATGCGATGGAGATAAGGTGTGTATTGGTTCCAGGAGGAGCAAAGACAGATGCAGTACTCAGTCCTGATCAGTATACTCAAAGGACAGCTCAGAACGTTTGGATTTTTTAAAATTATACTTAGCCTTTTAAAATAAACCAATGGATATAACTTTTACATATCACGATGAAAATTAGAATTAGCAAACAACTAGATTTTAATTTTAACTGGGAGTCTCGATTCCCTTGTTTGTAAAATGTGGGTAATATCTCAACTTTCTGTTAGTGTGATGTGAACTCAGTAGGTACATAATAAGCACTAATTTTGTTCCTCGTTACTCAGGATTCAAGAGAATGCTGAACTCTTAGGGAACAATTTTGTAACACTATTATGGTGATATTTTAATCATATTCAGTAGGGCATGTTATGAGAGTATATTTTATCAACAATAGATACGGTGCTTTTCTTGTTAGGGAAGAAATAGAGTTTTGTATTAACATAGCTAACAGTCAACACTAAACATAAAATGACTATTCTTTATTAAAAAGTTAACTGCCTAGAGCCTACTTTCAGTCTTTTTTGAGACAAGTTCTCACTGTCATCCAGGCTGGAGTGCAGTGTCATGATCTTGGCTCACTGCAATCTCTGCCTCCTGGGTTCAAGCAATTCTCCCACCACAGCCTCCTGAGTACCTAGGACCATAGGCGTGTGCCACCACACTGGGCTAATGTTTGTAGAGATGGGGTTTCTCCATCTTGCCCAGGCTGGTCTCCAACTCCTGATTTCAAGTGATCCACCCACCTCAGCCTCCCAAAGTGCTGGGATTACAGGCGAGAGCCACCGTTCCCAGCCCTAGTTTGAAGTTTATGATAATCATCTATTGCTAGCAGTTTGTTTCAATCCTTAGTCACAGTCACAGTCCTTGAGTAGAATGTTCCTGTGTAACACAACTCTCCCTCCTTCTCCAGATCAGGATTCATTCATTATTTATTCAGCAAATAATTGACTGCCTTCCATATTCAAGGCACTATTTAGGGCGGTATAGTGTTGAACTGCAGTCCTTGCTCTCAACGTAGACCTTACACTCTGGAAGGGGTGACAAAGAACAAACATGTAAATGAAAGAATAAGGTCATTTTCAGTAGTATTGAGTGTCACGAAGGCAAATAACATTAACAATGACATCGTTTTGGGTGACCTGGGGTAGGAACATAATTATGTCAGGTGAGTAGAGATGGTCACTAAGGAGATACACTTGATAGGAATCCTAAATAAGGAAGAGCTTGCCTTGTAAAGATCTAGGAACAGAATTGTTCTTGCAAAGGGAGGAATACAGCAGCATTCCTGTTGTGCCTGAGTGGGTCAGGTGAGGGACCCAGTATGAGGTGTGGTTGGAGTATTTTATTCCATGTATAGTGAAGGACCATTGGAAGGTTCTGAGTAGGAATCCAGTCTGTATTTTAAAAGGTGTACCCAGGGACTAAGAAAACTTAGGCTGCTGAGGTATCATAAGCTTTTTTGTCTTTAAAGACAGGGTCTCGCTGTGTCACCCAGGCTAGAGTGCAGTGGCTCAATAACCTCTTACTGTAGCCTTGACCTCCTGGCCTCAAGCAGTCTTCTACCTCAGCCTCCTGAGTAGCTGGGAGCACAGGCGCATGTCACTATGCCTAGCTAATCAAAAAACATTTTTTTTGTAGAGTTAGGGTCACTCTAATTTGCTCAGACTGGTCTCAAACTTCTCTAGGCTCAAAGGATCCTCCCTTGAGGGTGCTGGGATTACAGGTGAGGACGACTGCTCCTGGCCATGGTATCATAGCTCTTGAAGAAAACTAAAAGACTTCTGTAATTTTATCTTGCTTCCCCATGTCTGCTTTCTCCCCATTAGACAAAATCAAGAGAGATTAGTTCTATTTCATGAAGTTATAAATATGCATCTTTAATGTACTTTCTGCCTTTCCATTTGTCACAGATAAAATTCCATTCTAAGAAGGAATTTAAATACTGAATTTGCTAGGTGCTGACTTCTCTTTATGGCCTCCAAATAGGCTGCAGATAGTTTGACTTCAACTTTTACAACTTTGAAATGCTTAAGAGAATACCTCCACTGATTTTTAAAAACTGATCTCCCTGTAATCCCATCTTAGTATTAAAAATATGACCAGAGGCTGAGTGCAGTGGCCACGCTTGTAATCTCAGCATTTTGGGAGGCTGAGGCAGGACGATAATTTGAACCTGGAAGTTTGAGACCAGCCGGGGCAACATAGGAAGACCTTGTCTTTAGAAAGAATAAAAAATTAGCCAGTGTGTTGGAACACACCTGTTGTCCTAGCTACACAGGAGGCTGATATGGGAGGATTGCTTGAGCCCAGGAATTTGAGGCTGCAGAGAGCCATGATCTTGCCACTGCACTCCAGCCTGGGCAACAGTGTAAGCCCCTATCTCAAAAAAAATGTTGGGGGATAGGTGTAGTCACTCACACCTATAATATCAGTGCTTTGTGAAGCCAAGGCAGGAGGATTGCTTTAGGCTGTGAGTTCAAGACTAACCTGGCCAATATAGAGGAACCCCATCTCTATAAAAAGTAAAAAGTAAAACATTAACCTGGCATGGTGGTACATGCCTGTGGTCTCAGCTACTTGGGAGGCTGAAGTGAGAGAATTGCTTGAGCCCAGAAGTTCGAGAATGCAGCGGGGTACTATTGCACCACTACACTCCAGTCTGGGCATCAGAGTGAGACACCGTCATCAAAATAATTTTTAAAATAAATTTTAGGCTGGGCACGGTGGCTCACGCCTGTAATCCCAGCATTTTGGGAGGCTGAGGTGGGCGGATCACAAAGTCAGGAGATTGAGACCAGCCTAGCTAACACGGTGAAACCCTGTCTCTATCTAAAAATGTAAAAAATTAGCCAGGCATAGTGACACGAGCCTATAGTCCCAGGTACTCAGGTGGCTGAGGCAGGAGAATCACTTAAACCCAGGAGGCGGAGGTTGCAGTGAGCCAAGACCGCACCACTGCACTCTAGCCTGGGCAACAGAGTTAGACTGTCTCGAAGAAAAATTTTTTTTTAATTTAAAAAACAGCTGTTATTACTGTCATCCATGATATTCCTGTTGTGTTAACAAAAACAATTCTTCCAATTATATGTTTGGCAAACGGGTCCTCTGATCTATTTCTAGCATAGTCTCTTTTTTTTTCTTATATAGCAGGGCTCCCTTACCCCCAGGCAGAGGATTGGTACCAGTGCGTGGCCTGTAGCAGGGAACTGGGCCACACAGAAGGTTAGCAGTGGGTAGTGAGCGTTTACCATCTAAGCTCCATCTCTTGTCAGATCAGCCATGGAATTACATTCTCATAGGAGCGCAAACTCTGTTGTGAACTGCGCACGAGAGGGATCTAGGTTGCACACTTCTTATGAGAACCTAATGCCTAATGATCTGAGGTGGAACAATCTTCATCTGCGGAAAAATTGTCTTCCACGAAACAAGTCCCTAGTGCCAAAAAGGTGGGGACCGCTGCTATATAGTGTCTTAATTCTAAATTAGAAGTTCATCATTTGGCCAGGCACAGTGGCTCATGCCTGTAAACTCAGCACTCTGGGAGTGTAAGGCGGGCAGATCACCTGAAGTCAGGAGTTCGAGACCAGCCTGGCCAACATGGTGAAACCCCATTGCTAGTCAAAATACAAAAATTAGCCAGGCGTGGTGGCGGGTCCCTATAATCCCAGCTACTCAAGAGGCTGAGGCAGGAGAATTGCTTGAACCCGGGAAGAGAAGGTTGCAGTGAGCTGAGATCGCTCCGCTGTACTCCAGCCTGGGCAACAGAGCAAGACTCCATCTCATAAATAAATATATAAATAAATAGGAAGTACATCATTTTATGCAGAGATTATATAGTAAATTCTTAACTGGTCTTCCTGCCTCTTGATTTTTCTCCAGTAGGTCCTGTATTTCTTCTGCCAGATTAATTCTCATAAAATGCCATTTATATCACCTCAGTGACATATCCCAGTTGCTTACTGGGCCAAGTTCTAATGCCTCATACTGGCATTTAGTTCTCTCCCTATCTCTCCTGAGATGAACAAGCTGGGCTCATTCTACCTCTGCTTTGTTTAAAGCTGTTTTTACCTTGTTGTTGTTCCCATAAATTGTCTACTCTTTGTCTTTAAATTTGGCCATCCTGCTGCTTCCTCCTTTCTCTGAGCGCCTCCTGATCTTATTGTCTGTAATTTTGGTATTATTCTGAAGTGTTGCATTATTTGTTAATTGATTCTTGGATCTCTCATTTCGTTAAGCAAAATATAAACTCTGTAGGCAGGTCCAGAGTCTAATTTGTTTTTCACTCCCTTCTTCTCCATATCCCCCAGTGTAAGATAAGACTAGGTGCTTAGTACATATTTATTGGTCTCTGAGTCACCCATACTGTTTTCAATCATAGGATATTAATATGCTTCTCTCAATGATGGATATCAGCCCAGGTGATACTGTTTTGGAAGCTGGCTCAGGCTCTGGTGGAATGAGCTTATTTTTATCCAAAGCAGGTAAGAGATTGGATTGAGCTGGATCTCGATAACAAAGAAAATGTTCAATTTGTTCATTAATAACAACAGAAAGTTAGAAAGATATTTGGGAAAATACCTAATACTGAGATAGCATTCTCTGAGAAACCGAATGTAAGCAACTAAGCAACTGTCTTTTTTTTTTTTAATTAAGACAAGGTTTTACCATGTTGGTCAGGCTGGTCTTGAACTCCTGACCTCAGGTGATCTGCCCGCCTTGGCCTCCAAAGTACTTGGATTACAGGCATGAGCCACCACGCCCAGCCGCAGCTGTCTTTCTTTCCATTTTGTACATTTATTCCATTCAGTCTCTTTCTTTCTTTTCTGTTCTTTCTTTTGTTTTGTTTTGTTTTTTTTTTGAGATGAAGTCTTGCTCTGTTATCCAGGCTGGAGTGCAGTGGCACAATCTCAGCTCACGGCAACCTCCACCTCCCGGGTTCAATTGATTCTCCTCCTCCCTCAGCCTCCTGAGTAGCTGGGATGACAGGTGTATACCACCACACCTGGCTAAGTTTTTGTATTTTTAGTAGAGACGGGTTTCACCATGTTGGTCAGGCTGGTCTCAAACTCCGCACCTTGTGATCTGCCTGCCTTGGCCTCCCAAAGTGCTGGGATTACAGCATGAGCCACTGTGCCCAGCCCTTCTAGTCAGTCTCTTTCTAACCCTCCCTCCATTTTCTTTGCTCTGTCTTGTTTCCTCCGTGCTCTCTAATGCTGCTGCTTTTTTCTTAAGTATACTTTTTATTGGAATATAACATAGCTACAGAAAAGTGTGCAGGTCATAAGTGTATACCTCAATGAATCCTTGTATAGTGACCACTCGTGCACTTATTACCCAGATCAAGGTAGGGAGTGTCCCTGCCCCACAGACGCCTCCTCATGTCCCCTCCCATAATAAAAGAAATGCACGTTAAAAACTACATTAAAAGGCTGACCATGGTGGCTCATGTCGATAATCCCAGCACTTCGGGAGGCCGAGGCAGGCAGATTGCTTGGGCTTGTGAGTTTGAGACCAGCCCAGGCAACATGACGAAAACCTGTCTCTACCAAAAATATAAAAAAATTAGCTGGGTGTGATGGGGCACACCTGTTGTCCCAGCTTCCCAGCTGATGTGGGAGGATTGCTTGAGCTTGGGAGGCAGGGGATGCAGTGAGCTGTGATTGCACAACCACACTCTAGCCTGGGTGACTGAGTGAGACCTTGTCTCAAGAAAAAATGAAACAAAACTCAAAAATCTACATTAAAAATGTAAACTTTATTCACTTTTTAGATTGACACAGATGAAAAGTTCAATAACTCTTTGTCAGGGAGAGTATAGAGATATGGGTATTCTAATACATTGCTGGTTGGCATATAAGTTGATACCACTTATGTGGACAATTTAATATTGTATGAATAACTTCACATACCCTTGAGCCAGCAATTCCATTTTTAGGACTTCATCCTGTGGGGATATACTGGCTTGACACAAAGACTTAGGTACAAGAATTTTCATTGTAGTATTGTTTGTATTAGCATATGACTAGAAACAAGCTAAATGTTCATTATAGCCATACCCCAGAATATAATGGCTGTTAAAAAGAATGCAAATTTTTTTAAAAAGAATGCAGTACATCTAGACTCACTGAAATGACATTAGAAAGTAAGAAGGAAAGTACAAGACAGTGTGTATAATACACCACAATGTGTATTAAAAACAGAGAGAGATACTTGCATGCTTGTATGGGTAGTGACTATCATGGGAAGGGTAAATAACTGGTAATGTGGTTGCCTCTGAAGAGGGAGATTAATTGGGGATCAGGGATGGGAGGAAGACTTGTAACATTGAACTATTTGAATTTTTTTTTATATACATGTACCTTTGCAAAATAAATTTTTGACACGTTTTAATAAAATGATTAATCCTATGAAATATCAAATTATTTTTTACTTAAGTTGGATCACAAGGACGAGTCATAAGTTTTGAGGTACGAAAAGACCACCATAATCTGGCTAAGAAGAATTACAAACACTGGCGTGATTCATGGAAATTAAGTCATGTAGAAGAGTGGCCAGACAATGTGGATTTTATTCATAAGGATTTCTCAAGAGCGGCTGAAGACATAAAATCTTTAACATTTGACGCAGTAAGTTTTCTAACATGGGTCCTGTGTTATTGCTTTGACTGCAAAGAAAATAGGGGTCAGGCTGCTTTTGTATGGGCAACGGTCTTCCTTCATTTGCTTCATATCTATCTCTAGGGACGGAAAGAATATTTTTGTTTCATGCCTTTTAATCTCACGGTGGAATTTCGGGCAGAGAGACATACTGAGTTAGCAAGTTGGGTGATAAAGTTATCAATAAATGTAGGATAATGACCAAAAACTATGGCCAAAGGCTAGTTGAGCACCACGAACCTCAGCATTCCCAGGATAAAGAAATCGTACTTCATGGTTCCTATGATATCAGTTTCAGAAAAAGAAAAAAGAAAACATACTTTGGAAGCAGCATTGGAAGCATATTGAACCCAGCACCTAACCTGAATTGTGAGATTTTGGGGGAATAAGTAGCTTCCATTTGACAGGAAATAGGCAGAAGGCTTTCGACCGTTAAAGTCAGGATGTAAGGGCAGTGTGTTCATTGAAGATGTTGAGGACAGAGGTGTTTGTCATGGACAAAGCTCCAGAAAGTGGAGCAGAGAGATTGTGAGGAAGAGAAATAGTAGGAGGTTGACTTAGGGAAAAGAAGCAGAGTAGATGAAGGTAAAAAGATAGATGACAAGAGGCCAGGCGTGGTGGCTCACACCTGTATTCTCACACTTTGGGAGGCCGAGGCAGGTGGATCACCTGAAGTTGGAAGTTCAAGACCAGCCTGACCAATATTCTCTACTAAAAATGCAAAATTAGCTTGGCATGGTGGTGCATGCCTGTAATCCCAGCTACTCAGGAAGCTGAGGCAGGAGAATCGCTTGAACCCGGGAGGCGGAGGTTGCAGTGAGCTGAGATTGCACCATTGCTTTCCAGCCTAAGCCACAAGAGTGAAATTTCATCTCAAAAAGGAAAAAAAGATAGATGACAAGCTGTGGTGAGACATGGTGGAGATCTGACACATGGAGGTATTTGCTGGCTTCAGAGTTTCAGAATCCCAGTGTAAGTTGCCCTGTCTTTAGTGATCCCACTTCACAGTTCTTAGCTTCATACTGTGGACTGAGGTCTTGGTCAGGAGTCTTCCTTGCTTTCCTTATTTGGCTACTGGAAGGGTGGACTATTTTGGTGAGAAAGGAAGCAAAGTTCAAAGAGGAGAGAAGTTTTTTTTTTTTTTTTGGGAGACAGAGTCTCACTCTTGCTCAGGCTGGATACAGTAGCACAGTCTCAGCTCACTGCAACCTCCACCTCCCAGGTTCAAACAATTCTCCTGCCTCAGCCTCCCAAGTAGCTGGGATTACAGGTGCATGCCACCATGGCCAGCTAATTTTTATATTTTCAGTAGAGATGGGGTTTCACTATGTTGGCCAGGCTGGTCTTGAACTCCTAACCTCAGGTAATCTGCCTGCCTCAGTCTCCCAAAGTGCTGGGATTACAGGTGTGAACCACTGTGCCTAGCCACGAAAATGATTTTTATCAACACTGACTTCTAGCTCTGATATAACTAAAGCCTGTAGTATTAGTGGCACAGCTTATGGACACAAAGACCTCAGTTCTTTTTTCTCATCTTTGGGTTGCATGTTACAGCTCAATAAGGGGAAAAGGCTCTGTTAGGTCATCCATAGGAATGTCAAAAATACCTGGGAGATTAAATTGGTCATCAGAAGTTTGCTTGATGAGCATGAAACACAACAAAGGATTTTAATGATATCATTGGAGCTTTGTAGAAGCCTGCTGAACCATTCCTGATCTAAAAAGAATACGCCTTTTTAGATTCATTCAGTTAATCTCTCTTGAATAATAGTGCCAGATGATTACTCATTATGAGGGAATAGAGAAGGAGGAGCGGTGTCAGCTGCTGGGGGAGAATTATATACTGCTAGGGCCAAAGAATTATAGCTGGTGTTCATAAATATAATACAGAACTGTTAAATAGAAGCTAGATCATGAATAATTTCCTTAAGAACATTTCTAAAAATTGTACATTGGTAAGAGTATTGCTTGTGGGTAGGTGTTTGATCAAAGATCAGAAGGCATATGTTAAACATAAATTTCTTTTCACATTCCCACCATTGTTTTTTTAGTTGCTCCCTTTGTCTACTTAATTCTTCTCCTAGCTGCCATCTCACCTCCTGGGCCTTCCCTCTTCTAACCCATTCCCCTCATCTCTAGATTAATCTTCCTAAAATATACTTCTGGACTGGGTGTGGTGGCTCATGCCTGTAATTCCAGTACTCTGGGAGGCCAAGGTGGGTGGATCACCTGAGGTCAGGAGTTCGAGACCAGCCTGGCTAACATGGTGAAACCCTGTCTCTACTAAAAATACAAAAATTAGTCCAGTACGGTGGTGGGCGCCTGCAATCCCAGCCACTCGGGAGGCTGAGTCAGGAGAAACGCTTGAACCTGGGAGGTGGAGGTTCCAGTAAGCCAAGATCGCGCTACTGCACTTCAGCCTGGGCAACAAAGCAAGACTCCATCTCAAAAAAAGAAAAACCAAATATATATTCACAAATATATAAATTCACATTGTATTAAATGTTTTAATTTTTTGTGTTATAATGGCATGTTTTACATTGGCAATATTATAATACAGGAATATAGGAATCTTTCTTTGGTTATATTCATATATACATACATAGCCAAATGAATATTTCCATATTAATATTGCCAAATACAAGACATATCATTTTGATTTTTCAGTATCATCAAGTATTATGACAATTTTTTCTTCCCTGAGACAGGATCTCACTCTTGCCCGGGGTGGAGTGTGATGGCACAGTCGTAAGTCACTACGGCCTCGAACTCCTGGGCTCCAGTGCCCCTCCCGCCTCCGCTTCCTGAGTAGCTGGGACTGTGGGCTTGTGCCACGGCACCCAGCTAATTTTTTTTTTTTTTTTTTTTGGTAGAGTCAGGGTCTCACTATTTTGCCTGGGCTGGTCTCAAACTCGGCCTCAAATGGATCCTCTTGCCTCAGCCTCCCAAAGTATTGGGATTACAGGCATGAGCCGCCTAGCCCAGCTGTATAATAACTAACATATCCTTTTGGGAACAGTAAAATGATCGTTAATAATACAACATTCTAAAACATGAAATAATTTTGAGTAATTGCTTTCCAAAAGTGTGTCATTTTACCACGGTAAGAAAACTTATGCTTTATTTAAACAGAATCAGACTGATCCAGTTCTCTTCCCCCCCACACAGGTAGCTTTGGATATGTTAAATCCTCATGTTGCTTTGCCTGTTTTTTACCCACATCTTAAGCATGGTGGTGTATGTGCTGTATATCTAGCAAAGTGAGTAACAGAACTGTTTTTCTTTGCAATGTGACTTTTAAATGCACTTTTGCTTAAGTACCAAACTAAGATATTTTTTCTTTTTGGAGATGGAGTCTTACTCTGTCACCCAGGCTGTAGTATGCAGTGGTATGATCTCAGCTCACTGCAACCTCTGCTTCTTGGGTTCAAGCAATTATTCTGCCTCAGCCTCTCGAGTAGCTGGGATTATAGGCGCCCACCACCACACCCAGCTAAATTTTTGTATTTTTGGTAGAGATGGGGTTTCATCATGTTGGCCAGGCTAGTCTCAAACTCCTGACCTCAGATGATCTGCCCATCTGCCTCCCAAAGTGCTGGGATTACAGGCATGAGCCACTGTGCCTAGCCAAAATACTCATTTGTAACTGAATAAAGTGTATGTGGCATCTTTTAAAACTGTTATAAAATGACAAGTCCCAAGTTCGTTAATATTACTAGTATTTAGTTTTAATTTTTTTCATTAATTAATTTATTTTATTTTTTCTGATATGGAGTCTCGCTTTGTCACCCAGGCTGGAGTGTAGTGTTGTGCTCGGCTTGCTGCAACCTCTGCCTCCCAGGTTCAGATGATTCTCTTGCCTCAGCCTCCTGAGTAACTGGAATTACAGGCACATGCCACCATGCCTGGCTAATTTTTGTATTTTTAGTAGAGATGGGGTTTTGCCCTTTTGGCCAGGCTGGTTTCAAACTCCTGACCTCAAGTGATCCTCCCGCCTCAGCCTCCCAAAGTTCTGGGATTACAGGTCTGAGCCACCACACCCGGCCCTATGTTACTGTTTAAATCATTCTTTACATAAATAGTAATATAAGATGCATATTTTCTTCTGATAATCTGGGAGAAAAGTTTTAAAAGTATAATGGGATTGATCAGTAATGTTATAGTCTCTGTATTGATTTACTGAGAAATCTGTGAAAGTACTTATTTTGCCTTCTGACTTGCATATTTAAACCCTCTCCTGCCTTCATTTAACTATAGCATTTAAATTTGGACACAGGGTATACGGAACTTAAATAAATGTAGTTATTATTTTAGTAGAAATGTAAAGTACATTTTTCACTTTTCTGAAAGCATCACACAGGTTATTGAACTTTTAGATGGAATTCGCATCTGTGAACTTGCTCTTTCCTGTGAAAAGATAAGTGAGGTCATTGTCAGAGATTGGTTGGTTTGCCTTGCAAAACAGAAAAATGGAATTTTAGCTCAAAGAGTAGAACCTGAAGTCAACACAAATGTACAACTACATTCTCAAGAGAAAATTGGAGTTGAAGGTGAGCCGTTTGAAGAGGATGACGATGGTGAGCTTCAGTTTTACTTTATGTATGCAGTAATAAATGGAGAATGAGCTCCTGAGTATCCTGACCAATAGATTATGAAAATATTCCTCAGTGATTTTCTATAGAAATTGAAGTGTGATATTTTTATTCTGCTAAAATATATAAGGGACAGAAAAATGACTTTTCCTGCCTTTTACATAAAACTCTAATACCTTCGAATAATTGAATAATTGAATTTTGTTTTGTGGTTTTTGTTTTTTTTTTGAAACGGAGTTTCACTCTGTTACCAGGCTGGAGTCAGTGGCACGATCTCAGCTCACTGAAATGTCCACTTCCTGGGTTCAAGTGATTCTCCTGCTCAGCCTCCTGAGTAGCTGGGACTACAGGCACACACCACCCAGCTAAGTTTTGTATTTTTAGTAGCGACAGGGTTTTGCTTTGTTGGCCAGGCTGGTCTTGAACTCCTGACCTCAGGTGATCCGCCCGCCTCGCCCTCCTAAAGTGCTGGGATTACAGGTGTGAGCCACCGCACCAGGCCTAGGATTGAGCTTTTTATAGTATTCATGTTTTACTTGTCACAAGGAGCTCGACTTGTGAAATAATTTAAATATACTAAGAATGTTTTAAATTTAGATAAGTGATTATTACTGAAGGGAATGAATTTAGTGGGACCTGATAGGCAAATAGTTAATATTCCAAAAAGCAACTTCTAAGATGCTGCTGAAATTCTTGAAAGAACTAAGTTTAGGTCTTTGTTGTATATACACATTATTTAGGCCATGAACATGTTTTCAAGTATCCATTGATTTATAATATGGGCTTATCCATTTGGTTATGAAATCATCTATATTTATTATATAATCATTGACAAATTGTTTCTGTATAATAACTGGCAAAGTAGTTCTAAAATAAATGCAAGGAAAAAATGAGAGAAAAAACTTTATTATGAGAGTAATTCATATTTTAACAGTTTTTATGAAAAAAATTACAAAACATTTTATGTAGCTTATAGTACATATATTTTTTACAACAGAAGGATCACATTCTGATTTTCCATATGGATCATGTCCCTATATTGCTAGACCAGTACACTGGCAAGCTGGTCATACAGGTGAGTAATGTTTTCAGACCATATTAAATGGTGTTTTTTCATCTAATTAATATAATGACTTTACGTTTTTCTTCTCTTAAATTAGCTTTTCTTGTCAAGTTGAGGAAGGTCAAACCACAACTTAACTGAGTACTCCAGATGACAGCAACTGACTTGAAAGATGGAAAAATATCAAAATAGAACTTGTTACATTGAAAATGACCACTTTCATAGATTGGTATTTTTAACTATTACTATGACTTATATAACTTTTACATATAATTTTGAAAATAACAAATAAAGATGTACAACATGGCAAAACTGCTTAAACATCCCATTTGACACTTGTCTTGCAGTTGGTTTGACATTTTGTAGTAAAGGTTCCAGACTGGTTTAGTTGAGCCATCTCATTCTTCACTTCCTGTAAACCACTCCATAGATTTGTCTTTCTTCAAGAAATTAGTTTTTTTTCCTTTGTTTGATTGATGGTCATTGACTACTGAAATATAAAATATGCATTTAAAGATAAGTTTTATGTATCTGTCCATTTTAAATATATGTTATAATGGCTTATATATATGTCTTACAAAATAATAAGGAAATCTGGGTTACAGTAAATAATGGGAGGAAACTTAAGAATGATATAATCACCTTAAATAATGGGAGGAAACTTAAGAATGATATAATCACCTTTTGTTACAATTTTGTTAAAAATTGTAACAAAAGATGTAACAGCTCTTGAATCTATTTTATTCCCTTCAGAATTTTTTTAACCAGCTTGAAAGAACATAATCATTGTTCAGTGTTACTACATAAATCAGTGTTTGGGGGTCAGGCAGTGGCTTACACCTGCAATCCCAGCACTTTGGGAGGACAAGGCAGGCAGATCACCTGAGGTCAGGAGGTCAAGACTAGCCTGGCTGACATGGCAAAACCCTGTCTCTACTAAAAAATACAAAAATTAGCTGGGTGTGGTGGCGGGCGCCTGTAATCCCAGCTATTGGGAAGCTGAAGCAGGATAATTGCTTGAACCCAGGAGGCGAAGGTTGCAGTGAGCTAAGATCATGCTGCTGCACTCCAGCCTGGGTGACAGAGCGAAACTCCATCTCAAAAAAAAAAAAAAAAGTTTGGAGAATGCATTTTAGAAACATGAATTAATTATAAATAGGACTTATTATTATTCATAGATACCAGTTATTTAGCATTTAACACATACCATACATTGTTTTGAAAACTTTGTATGTTTTTCACTTATCTTTCAGGTTATACATATTTTACAGATAAACAGTGAAAATGATTAGGTTGCTGTTTAAATATGGATGTTTTATAGGTTTTTGGTTATTTTTTTCTGCTGTTGGTGCGTAATAAAGGTTTTTTTGTTTGTATGTTTTGTTTTTGAGATAGATTCTCATTCCATCACCCAGGCTGGAGTGCGGTGGCATGATCATGGCTCATTGCACCTCAGTCTCCCAAGCTCAAGTAATCCTCCCACCTCAGCCTCCCAAGTAGTTGGACTACAGACACATGCCACAATGCCCAGCTAATTTTTGTGGGTTTTTTGGTAGAGATGGGATTTTGTCATGTTTTCCACGCTGGTCTAAACTGCTAGGTTCAAACAATCCTCCTGCCTTGACCTCCCAAAGTGCTGGGATTATAGGCATGAGCCACCATGCCTGGCCTGTTTTATGGGCCTTAAAATAGTAATGCCGGCCGGGCATGGTAGCTCACGCCTATAATCCCAGCACTTTGGGAGGCCAAGGCTGGTGGATCACGAGGTCAAGAGATCGAGACCATCCTGGTCAATATGGTGAAACCCTGTTTCTACTAAAAATACAAAAAAATTAGCTGGGCATGGTGGCGCACTCCTGTAGTCCCAGCATTTTAGGAGACTGAAGCCAGGAGTTCGAGACTAGCCTGACCAAAATGGAGAAAACCAGTCTCAACTAAAAATACAAAATTAGCCAGGTGTGGTGGCACATGCCTGTAATTCCAGCTACTCAGGAAGCCGAGGCAGAAGATTCTCTTGAACCCGGGAGGCAGAAGTTGTGGTGAGCCGAGATTGTGCCATTGCACTCCAGCCTGGGCAACAAGAGCGAAACTCTGTCTCAAAAAAAAAAAATTTTTTTTTAAAGAAGATGCATTTAATATAGCTCACCACCAAACATCACAGCTTAGCCTAGACTACCTTAATGTGCTCAGAACACTTATATTAGGCTACAGTTGGGCAACATCATCTGGTAGTAAAGTACACTGTTGAAAATAAGTCATTTACTCTCATGATTTCATGGCTGCCTGGAAGCTGCAGCTCACTGCCTCTGCCCACCATCAAGAGAGACTATGATACAGCTTTCCACTGAATTGGTATAGTCACTATAGGTAAGTCAAGGACCAGATGTATTTTCAAACTTCTGTCTGGTATTCAGAAGCCCCTTCCTTTAATTCTCTGGGCAAAACAGGACTCAGTCAATGCCCAGCTAACATATTACTTTGATAAGCCTTCCCCAGGGCTGGGCACGGTGAATTGTGCCTGTAACCCCAGCACTTTGGGAGGCTGAGGCAGGCAAATCACCTGAGGTCGGTAGTTCGAGACCAGCCTAACAAACATGGAGAAACCACGTCTCTACTAAAAATACAAAATTTGCTGGGCATGGTGGCTGGCACATTCCTGTAATCCCAGCTACTCAGGAGGCTGAGGTAGAGAATCGCTTGAACCCAGGAGGCAGAGGTTGTAGTGAGCCAAAATCGTACCATTGCACTCCAGCCTGGGCAAAAGAGTGAAACTCCATCACAAAAAAATAAATAAAAAATAAAAAAGCCTTCACCAAAGCTCTCACCCACAGAATTAATTCTAAAATCTTTTGTGCTCCTCAGTGTTGATCATATACTTAGCATAGCCCTTATTAACTTATATGCCCTGATTATGCCTTCATTACGTGTAAAGATCTACAACCTGGATGGCTAGTATGGTGGTAATGATAAAAATAAATAAGAAAATTCAAAGAAGGATTTATTTCTGAGGAAAAGTTATTTGGTTTTAGATTATTTAACAGTTGGAATGTTACATGCCTGCCTATATGGCATAGGGTTAAGGCTTGGTATATTTTTTTCCCTTGCCTTCACTCTAATATTTCATGGGTCCTCAGGTAATACATAATATATACCTATGTTTCACATGGACCAGCCCAGGTATCATAAAGCTTACAACAGCTTATGGTAAGGAGAAACAACTGTAGTTTAGTTATTATAAAAATGTGCTATGTATTCAGATAGAACTGAGTTCCCATCTTGTTTTTGTTACTGTTTTACCTGGTCATGGTGTGACTTTTCTGAGTTTGTTTTTTCATCAGTAAAATGAATATGATAATGCTGCTTCAAGATTTCTTAGGAGCTTGGGTGTTAAATGAGATTAAGTGTCTAGCATGTGATTGGTGATTGTGATGTAAATAAATACGTAAAGAATGCTTCATCTATCCCTCCCAAAAGTAATTTTTTTGTTTTTTGGTTTTTTTTTTTAGACAGAGTTTCAGGCTGGGCGTGGTGGCTCATGCCTATAATCCCAGCACTTTAGGAGGCTGAGGTGGGTGGATCACAAGGTCAGAAGATCGAGATCATCCTGGCTAAAACAGCAAAACCCTGTCTTTAAAAATTAAAAAAAAAAGAGTTTCACTCTTGTTGCACAGGCTGGAGTGTACTCGGCTCACTGCAATCTCCACCTCCCAGGTTCAAGTGATTCTCCTGCTTCAGTCTCCCACATAGCTGGGATTACAGGCATGCACCACCGTGCCCAGCTAATTTTTGTGTTTTAGTAGAGACAGGGTTTTACCATGTTGGCCAGGCTAATCTCGAACTCCTGACCTCAGGCGATCTCCACCCCTGGCCTCCCAAATTGCTGGGATTACAGGCATGAGCCACTGTGCCTGGCCTCAAAAGTCAAATTTTTGACAGTCGTTTTACCCCATCTTGTCAAATTGAAAAACATTTTGTTCTTAATAAATGTCATAAACATATTTATCTACAACTTTTATTTAAATGTGTTTTTAAGCAAAAAATTTTTAAGGTGGGAAAACATGTTTTTACCTGAAAATTGAGGAGTTGCTGGCTTGTGTTTGAAAGAAAGGTGGAAGCACTGATTACCATCTTTGCTAAGTTTAGTATAGAAGTCTAAAGAAGAGCATAAACTTTGTGTGTCTTTCTTGGAGAATTCTGAATTCAGTTTTTTGTAACCACATATTATCAGATGATTCCAACCTTACATGGACTAGAGGAAGAAAATTTTGCTAGTAGAGGTCACTAAATCAGTAGCTGTTAGGCAGTGAGAGATTCATCCTACTCCTGTAACATCGTGTGTCCCTATTATCCTGCACTCTCCCCTCTACTCCTAAGTAGCTCACTTTCCATTAAAATTATTGGAGGAAGGCCAGGCGCGGTGGCTCACACCTATAATCCCAGCACTTTGGGAGGCCGAGGCAGGTGGATCACGAGGTCAAGAGATCGAGACCATCCTGGTCAACAAGGTGAAACTCCGTCTCTACTAAAAATACAAAAATTAGCTGGGCGTAGTGGCACGTGCCTGTAATCCCAGCTACTTGGGAGGCTGAGGCAGGAGAATTGCCTGAACCCAGGAGGCGGAGGTTGCGGTGAGCTGAGATCACGCCATTACACTCCAGCCTGGGTAACGATCGAAACTCCGTCTCAAAAAAAAAAAAAAAAAAAAACTATTGGAGGAAAATGAATGTATATTTTTAATGGTCAAATATGTATACGATCAATAATTTTCCTTTATACTGCTTACCTTCTGACATCCTGAAACCAAGAGATTTACAGTTAACCATGGGTTAATACTCAGAATAAAATGGCTATAGGTAAATATTTGTTCCTTCCTGTATAGGACCTATAAATCCTAAATCATGGCTTTTATCCAGTGACAGGATGAAAGCACACAGTTCCTTCTACAACCCCCTAAGTTAATACCCCACCTTTCATCCACAATCCCTCAAGGACCTTTATTTTTTCTCCAAAGTATACTGACTGGCAGAGCCCCTTTTTCTCTGGGTGCACTCACATTTTCTGTTGAGATGTCAAGGACTATACTACGGAGTGGTGTTACTGTTGATCTCTACAGAGGGTGGTCTGAATTATTTATATATATGTATATAAATAATATATATATAACTGCTCTGTTTTGCTTTCTGTAAATATCTGTTCAAATTCTTGGAATTCTCTCCCAGTTCACTTCATGTAGCCTTTCATAAGGGACTTGGTTCTTAATGCTTTTGCCACTTCCTTAGTAGTCTGCTAGAAGGCTTCTGTTGCAGCTTATTTTCACTGCCAATGGCAGGATATCATCAAAAGGGCAGTAAAACATAATATTTAGGAATTCAGGCTCTAGCTTAGAGTCAGAGACCTGGGTTCATATGTCACTCCAGCTCCTTGGGCAAATTATCTAACTTCTCCAAGCTTCAGTTTCCTTATCTGCTAAGTGGAGATATAGTATTTACCCTACGGTTGGCTGTGAATATTAAATGATATTATGAATATAAAATGTATTATATATTGCCTTGGACATTGTAAACATTCAGTAAAGCTTACCTATTATAAGGATCAAAGACTAAAGGAAGCTGGCAGAGGAGGGATGCTAAAAGACAATTTTTTTAAGAGATGGGATCTTGCTGTGTTGCCCAGGCTGGTCTCAAACTCCTGGCCTCAACTGATCCTTTGCCTCAACATAATAAAAAATATGCCTGAAGGTGTTGAAAGGGAAGAGACTATACTGTCATGCAAATTTGTTGAGTAATTACTATGGCCAAGAAATGGGACAATGACTGAGGCATAACCCCTACCTTCAGGAATCTGAGAGTCTAGTTTCTCCCTTAGTAAAGCTTAAGTAGCCACCATTAATCTCTTTGTAGCAAAAACAAATAGGTAAGATTCTGAAATAATGCAGATGTGTTAATTTCTCATGATAGAATTAGAAAGGACCATTAAAAAAAAAATCTGTCTACCCTGTCTTAAGATTGGTGAAAATCTGGAAGGCTTTATTAGTAAAAAGGATCACTGATAGAATATTATTCTAGTACTGTTTCTAGACATTTCTAGAAAAGAAATGTCAGCGAATACTATATATAAAAATAATTTGAATGAAATTACGGTGCAGTTGAATTTTTTCCAGCTAATACGATTCTTTTCTAATACGCTATTGTTGAAAGCCACTTAAATTCCAACAAAAATGAAATATATGAAGAAATTATGGTACTTATACCATGTCAGGATTAAAAATCAGGTTTTGGACTGGGTGCAATGGCTCACACCTGTAATCCCAGCAGGCAGATCAGTTGGGGCCAGGAGTTCGAGACCAGCCTGACCAACATGGTGAAAACCCTCTCTACCAAAAACACAAAAACTAGCTGAGCATGGTGGCACATGTCTGTAATCCCAGTTACTTCGGAGGCTGAGGCATGATAATCACCTGAACCCTGGAGGAAGACACTGCAGTGAGCCAAGATCATGCCACTGCACCCAGCCTTGGCAACAAAGTGAGATTCTGTTTTAAAAAAAAAATGTTTTTGGAGGACTCAGTAATGACATGGGAAAATCCTTTCTGATAAATGAAAAAAGCAGGCCTAGGCCGGGCACAGTGGCTCGTGCCTGTAATCCCAGCACTTTGGGAGGCCGATGTGGGAGGATCACAAGGTCAGGAGTTCGAGACCAGCCTGGCCAATATGGTGAAACCCCATCTCTACTAAAAATACAAAAATTATCTGGGTGTGGTGGTGCGCACCTGTAGTCCCAGCTACTTGGAGGCTGAGGCAGGAGAATCGCTTGAACCCGGGAGGTGGAGGTTGCAGTGAGCTCAGATGGCACCACTGCACTCCAGCCTGAGCAACAAAGCAAGACTCAAAAAACAGAAAAAAAAGAAGAAGAAGAAAAAGAAAAAAGCAGGCATAGATATAGTGTGGTTCTAATTTTGTTAGAAAAGTATACAGAAAGAAACCAATAGTTGGAAGGTGAGGTTACAAGTAAATTTATTTTCTTCTTGAAACACTTGAATAAAATAAACATTTCAACAAAATGATTCAGAAAATACTTGAAGCTCATGGTGCATTAGGTTTCAACTTAACATAGGTCACATTAAAAATCTGTTTAGGTGTTCACCACAAAACAGATAGGTACACAAAACAAAAAGTAACTGAAAGGGGAGAAAGTTTCAAGACTAATTTAACTTAAATTGTTGTAGTATGTAAATTATTATGTATCCATGACAGCAAGGGCTGACTAGAGCTCAGTAAACGACATGCATATATCTAATTCTGGCATATTATGAAATCATACCTTGAGAACAGGTATAAACTTGAGAAGGATCACCTGTTACGTCCATTGACAGTGAGTTGTGTAATTCCCGAGAATGTTTTTCCAACACCTCTGCTGTATGACTGGATAAAGACGATGATGCAGACAATCCCAGTCTAACATCTCTTCCTTTTTTACCGCAGACTGAACAATCTAGTGGTGTGGCACTAGGTCCCCGGGGCAGCTGAACTTCATCTCTGTTGTAGTTTCTGACAGCTCCACTGTGATGAACAGAGCGTTCTCTTTGCCAGATATAATGGGTTGGTGCAATGGCCATAACCTATAATGGAAAGCTTACTTTTAGAATTTTAGTAAGATTTCAAAATTTACTAAAGTTCAAAAATTGTAACTCAAAAAATGTCTCTAGGCCGGGTGCGGTAGCTCAAGCCTGTAATCCCAGCACTTTGGGAGGCCGAGGCGGGTGGATCACGAGGTCAAGAGATCGAGACCATCCTGGTCAACATGGTGAAACCCCGTCTCTACTAAAAATACAAAAAATTAGCTGGGCATGGTGGCGCGTGCCTGTAATCCCAGCTAGTCAGGAGGCTGAGGCAGGAGAATTGCCTGAACTCAGGAGGCGGAGGTTGCGGTGAGCTGAGATCGCGCCATTGCACTCCAGCCTGGGTAACAAGAGCGAAACTCCGTCTCAAAATAAATAAATAAATAAAAGTATCTAAAGTGAAGATAAAAATCCAAATCGCTGATTTAAAACCAGAACATTTTCAGATAGGTAATATTACTAAAAAGTGACTCATTGCTTGGATCTTTAACACAATAATTGACAAAGTAAATTATTTTAAACAGGAAATAGGACTGAAGCAAGCTTCCAGGTAGTCAGGGTATTTATTTTTAAATTCTGAATATTCTAAGTTTGGGAAACATAATACAGTTACTCTTAAACAATATGTAATTCTTAACTTTGCAATGTATTGGGTTAAAAAAAATTAGATGTTCCCAGCTATGTGTGTTATGTTAATCTTAAAATGTTTGCAATTATGGAAAGAGATATGGTAAGGCTGGGCGTGGTGGCTCATGCCTGTAATCCCAGCACTTTGGGAGGCCGAGGTGGGTGGATCACGAGGTCAAGAGATCGAGACCATCCTGGCCAACACAGTGAAACCCTGTCTCTACTAAAAATACAAAAAAATTAGCCAGGTGTGGTGGCACAAGCCTGTGGTCCCCGCTACTCAGGAGGCTGAGGCAGAAGAATTGCTTGAACCCAGGAGGCAGAGGTTGCAGTGAGCCGAGATTGTGCCACTGCACTCCAGCCTGGTAACAGAGTAAGACTTCGTCTCAAAAAAAAAAAAAAAAGAGAGAGAGATGGTAAATAAGAACATAGGTAAGTTATTTAATCTTTCTGTTCCTCAGCTTTGTCATCTATAGTATGGAGATAATAAGTGTCTATTTTAGAGGGTTGTTGGGGAGGATCAGATGAGGCAATTTTTATAAAGCCTCACTATCTACCAGTCATTGTTCTATAAAGTTTGTTAAATAAAACATGGGCTTTAGAGTCAGGGTATACTTAGTTTCTTACCCTGGCACTGCCACATGCTAGCTGTATGAAACTGGACAAGTTATTTAGCCTTCCTGGGGCTCAATTTCTTCATCTCTAAAATGGGCATACCATCTACTTCACAGGATTATTCTGAGGACTAGATGATTTGTAAAATCATCACATAGTAAGCATCTGGCAAATGACAGTCATTTAAGAAGTCAAGCTAGGGAACTGTATGTATGTGCCAACCTCATTGCTAACCATTCTAAGCAAAAATATTTAGTTACAGTAATCCATGACCGAAAGTAAATGAGAACTGTAACATTTGAGAGCTAGGCAGAGCCTTATTAATTACCTAGACCTAGATTTTCATGTTTAGAGAGTCTAGGTGCAATGACCCACTCCTGTAATTGCCATCACACCCAGCTAATTTATGTATTTTTAGTAGAGATGGAGTTTTGCCATGTTGACCAGGCTGGTCTCCAACTCCTGCTGACCTCAAGTGATCCACCCACTTCAGCCTCCCAAAGTGGCGGGATTACAGGTGTGAGCCACCGTGCTTGGCCAAAAGCTGTTATTTTTGCAACAAGTGCATCAGTCTCTCCACAAACTAACCCAGCTAGAAAAATACACAACCACACTTATTTACTTTTTAACATGTCTACATATATTTTATATACACATAATCATATAAGTAGAATTTACTGTGATGAGTGAATTAAAAATAAAACTGTACCAGGGTCAAGAGAGCTAGATTTTCATCTTAATCTGTTATTCTGGTGGGCACAGTGGCTCATGCCTGTAATCTCAGCACTTTGGGAGGCTGAGGTGGGCAGATCACTTGAGTCAGGAGTTTTGACACCAGCCTGGCCAACATGGTAAAACCCCATCTGTACTAAAAATACAAAATTAGCTGGGCATAGTGGTGCATTGTCTGTAATCCCAGCTACTTGGGAGGCTGAGGCAAGAGAATCATTTGAACCTGGGAGGCAGATGTTGCAGTGAGTTGACATGTATTACACTCCAGCCTGGGTGACAACAGCGAAAATCGGTCTCAAAAAAAAATTCATTACTTCTTGGGCAAATTACACAACTTTCTAGGCCATTGGGTGTCTTTTATATGAGAAAACAGATCACTTAAAATCCCCCAATGCTGTGATTCTATGAAAGGGACTTCTCTGAAACACTAGTAGCAGTTGATCTACTAGAAATATCCCCCTTTTTACTTTATCTTATTCTTTCATCATTTTAATTAATTTATTATTATTATTTTTTAAAGTTTCATTATGGCTGGCCTTGAACTCCTGACCTCATGATCTGCCCACCTTGGCCTCCCTCTTTTCAATATTTGAAAAGAGCACATGTTCTTTCTTATGTCAGTACCATATAATGCAAAGAGTACTGAGTTTAAGTATGTTGGGTCTGCTACTTATTAACTTCATGGCCTTGGACAAATCACAATCCTACTAAGCCACAGTTTTTGCATCTGTGAAATGAAGAGAATACTGAAGCTATTTTTTAATTCCCAAGACAAGATATAAATGCATTTTTCTAAACTAATCAATGAGAGGCTAGATGTCACAGAAAAAAGAACACTAGGAAGTCATTAGATGTTCTGGCTCTGCCATTTCTATGATTTTGAGTAAATCCCAACCTCCTTGGTCCTCAGTTTCATCAACTGTAAAATGAGAATGCCACCACCCTCACAGCTATTTGGGTGATAATTTCTAGGAAAACATTCGTAATTTATATAGCACTATGCAAATGTATAGTATTAGTGTAAGCTAGTTTGTAGCTACTATCCTAACTTATTTTAGGATATAGGACTAAAGAAATGTTTTGTTTGGCAGTATGTCAGGCTTTCAGTAACAAATTTAAACGCTTAAATTTTCAGAAGTCTGTCTTACTACTTCAGGAATGGGAATGGGGTGATATAATGCTTCTTTGCAATACACTCCCAGGGCACTGAACTTGGTATGTTATTTATAAAGTAGTTGTCCAGTGAACACTTAACAGTATGAAATCTACTAGGCAAATACCTTTTCTATATGCCAACATGATTCAAACATAGGTGGTTGGAACAGCCAAAAGAACAGCTTCTCTATCTGCCACTGGAGTAAGGGGCAGTGCAAAGTGAGCTCAGTGAAGAATTATTTCATAGTTTACTGTTTCTCTATTTCATGGATAAGAAGGTATGAAAAGAATTGGAAGTTCCATTCATTTTATCAGTCAACAAATATTTATTGACTACCTACTATGTGCCAGGTACTGTTCTAGGCACTGGAGATAGAATAAGAACAAAATAAGCCTGGGGGCAGTGACTCACTCCTGTAATCCCAGTACTTTGGGTGGGTGAGGCAGGAAGATCACTTGAAATCAGGAGTTTGAGACCAGCCAGACCACCATGGTGAAAACCCTATCTCTACAAAATAGCCAGGCGTGGTGGTGCATGCCTGTAATCCCAGCTATAATCCCAGCTACTCAGGAGGGTGAAGCAGAAGAATCACTTGAACCTGGGAGGTGGAGGTGGCAGTGAGCCGAGATGGTGCCACTGCACTCCAGCCTAAGTGACAGAATAAAACTCCATCTCAGAAAAAAAAAAAAAAAAAAAGGTCAGGCACTGTGACTCATCATGTCTATAATCCCAGAACTTTTCGAGGCCAAGGTGGGAGGACTCTTTGAGCGCAGGAGTTCAAGGTTGCCGTGAGCTATGATTACATATTGCAGCCTGGGTAACAGACTGAGACCCTGTCTCAGGGAAAAGAAAAAAAAAAAAGCAAAACAAAGACCCTGCTCTCTTGGAATCTGTATTTTAGTGGGAGGAAATTTATTTTAGCCAGATAAATAAATAAAAAGGAGTTTGTTATATGATGGTTGAGTGATTTGAGGAAAATTGGAAGTGAGAAAGGGAATACAGAGTAATAGTGGGAGGAACTACTTTAAATTTTAACAGCTTTGAAATTTAATTAAAATACCTTACAATTCATCCAACTGAAATGTACAATTCAATGATATTCAGTAGATTCAGAGTTAAGCAACCATTACCACAGTTAATTTTGAAACATTTTCATCACTGTATAAATAAAGCAATCACACTCCACTTTCTCCCTTCCCTCAACCCATAGTAACTACTAATCTATTTCTGTCTCTGAATTTGTCTATTCTGGACATTTCATATAAATAGAATCATACAATATGTCATCCTTTGTGACAGGCTTCTTTTATGTAGCATAACATTGTCAAGGTTATCTGTATTGTAGCTTGTACCAGGTACTTCATTCCTTTTAATTGTCAAGTAATATTTCATTGTAGGGATAGACCTTATTTTATTTATCCATTCTATCAGTCGATGGACATTTAGGTTGTTTCTACTTTGTCTATTATGAATAATGCTATGAACGTTCATGTTAAAGTTTTTGTGTGGACATGGTTTTATTTTTTTCTTTTGGCATATAGCTAGGAGTAGACTTGCTAGGTGATAGAGTAACTCTATATTTAGCCTTATGAGGAACTCTAGACTGTTATGAAAAGAAACTTCACCATTTTGCATTTTCATGAGAGATGTATGAGGGTTCCAATACCTCCACATCCTCTCCAATACTTTTATTTTGTTTATAGCCATCACAGCAGGTGTGAAGTAATAGCTCATCATGCTTTTGATTTGTAATCTCTGAAACGGCTAATGATGTTGAACATCTTTGTGTGTGTGTGTGTATTAGCAATTTGTATACCTTCTTTGGACAAATGTCTATTCAGATTCTTTGCTCATTTATTGATTGCCTTTT